AAATGAAATGAAATGAAATGCATAAAGATCTATATCCTATGAATTAGTTAGCTGAAACTGACTAGTATTGACCATTTTGAATCTGACATCATATGTTTTACAATGCCAGATGCAACAAATTGAACAGGAACAACATAACACTCATCATCAAAAAGAGCATTTCAAATCTATCTTGAAGTACAATGTTGTCTGTGATAGAGTACTATTCACACACCTAAAAAGGACAAACAGTTAATACCACTATTACTCAAACTTAAATACCAACCAGTAAAGCCAGGGATGATGAAATTGAAGAATTCTACTAACTTCTTCAGTATGAAATTCATCAAACATGCAATCAAGATGTATTGATAATTTTTGATGATTGGAATGTGAAGGTTGGAAACAAAAAGGAAGGCTCATTAGTCGGAAAATATGGCCATGGCAACAGAAATAATGCTGGAGATCACATAATTTTGCAAGACCAATGATTCATTTACTGCAAATACCTTTTTAAAACATCCTCACCAGACTACAAAGGAATCAAATTTACTACATCTGTGGGAAGAGATGGTGGAAAAAGTTCAATATCATCAGCCAAAACAAGGCCAGAGGCAAACTGAGAAACAAGACAATTAATTGCTTATATGCCAGTTCAATTTGAACTAAAAAAATACAGTCCACAAGAGCCAAAATATGACCCTGAACATAGCACACATGAACTTAAGAGAGCATCTCAGGAACAAATTTGATGCATTAGGCACTATTGAATAAAGACTAGAAGAGTTGTGGAAAGACAAAAAGAACATCATACAGGAAGAGAGAAAAACGTAATTTAAAAAATGGAAGAGAAATAAAAGACCAAAATGGATGTCAGAAGAGACTCTGAAACTTGCTCTCCAGTGCAAAGATACTAAAACAAATGAAAGGACTGAGAAAGTCAAAGAGCTGAACAGAAAATTTCAAAGGTAGCTTGAGAAGACGGAGTCAAGTATTACAATGAAATGTGCAAAGTCCTGGAGTTAGAAAACCATAAGGGAAGAACATGCTCAGCATTACTCATGTTGAAAGAAAAATCCAAGCCATTACTTGTAATGTTGAAGGATTCCATGGGCAAAATATTGAATGATGCAGAAAGCATCAAAAGAAGATGGAAGGTGTACACAGAATTACTGTATCAAAAAGAAAAGGTTGATGTTCAATTATTTCAAGAGGTAATATATGCACAAGAAACAATGGTACTGAATGAAGAAAGTTGCCTTGAAGGCATTTGTGAAAAACAAGGCTCTAGGAACTGACTGAATACAAACTGAAAACTTTCAACAAAGTGATGCAGCATTG